TAGATAGATAGATAGGTAGATAGATAGATAGATAGATATATAGATAGATAGATAGATATATAGATAGATAGGTAGATAAATAGATAGATAGAGGACTGGAAATTTGAGAAAGTGCACCCGCAGATAGAGAGGGAGAGAGAGAGAAAGACAGACAGACAGACAGACAGACACACAGACGGACAGACAGACAGAGACAGAGACAGAGAAATAGATAGATAGTCAGAGACAGAGGTGAAATTTTAAAAAAAGAAAGAAAAAGTAAAACAAGAAAGAAAGAAAGAAAGAAAGAAAGAAAGAAAGAAAGTAAGACGGAAGGAAGGAAGGAAGGAGATAGGCCCAACACCGCCTGTATAGTGTACCTGCAAAAGAACGAAGCGTCAGCAAAACGTAAACGTGCACGATGATATCACTCAAGTGAGTTATTAATAAACACAAAAAATGTGTGAATGGGAGACCACGCGCGAGCAGTGAAGGGGGAAAAGGCCTGTGCTGGCGAGTGGTGGTGAGCGGCTTTGATAGGGCGCGTGCATCTCGCGGTGAGTGACGGTTTCCTCATGCGCGGCAGCCAGCTCACGGGTTGCTGAAGGCTGATCCACAGACGGGAGGTGAGGCCAGAGGGTGCATGAAACCTGAGACTCCCCACCGGGTGGTGTGAGTTTTGGTTGACGTGGGTTTCTGAACGAAATGTACGAAATGTACGAAATGTATGAAATGTACAAAATGTTAAAAATGTAAGAAAAGTGCTAACGAAAGGTGTGAAATAATATGTGGAAATGTACTAACGAAATATGTGAAATATGTGAAATGTGTGAAACGTATGAAATGTGTGTAATGTACTAACGAAATGTGTGAAATGTGTGAAATGTGTGAAATGTGTGAAATGTGTGAAATGTGTGAAATGTGTGAAATGTACGAAATGTGGGAAATGTGTGAAATGTATGAAATGTGTGTAATGTACTAACGAAATGTGTGAAATGTGTGAAATGTGTGTAATAAATGTACGAAATGTGTGAACTGTACGAAATGTGTGAAATGTGTGGAATGTATGAAATGTGTGAAATGTGTGAAATGTGTGGAATGTATGAAATGTGTGAAATGTGTGAAATGTGTGAAATGTACGAAATGTGGGAAATGTGTGAAATGTATGAAATGTGTGTAATGTACTAACGAAATGTGTGAAATGTGTGAAATGTGTGAAATGTGTGAAATGTGTGAAATGTGTGAAATGTACGAAATGTGGGAAATGTATGAAATGTGTGAAAAAGTAAGTGAAATGTGTGAAATGTGTATAATAAATGTATGAAATGTACGAAATGTATGAAATGTATGAAATGCATGAAATGTATGAAATGTGTGTAATGTGTGAAATGTGTGATGTGTACGAAAAGTATGAAAATGTACGAAATGTATGAAAAGTGTGA